TGTAAGCCTATCTAGTTTTTTGTGTTAATGGTTGAAGCCGTTATTTGCACGTTATTTGGTTTGCTGAAAGCTTCGCTTTTTTTAAAATTTTCTTTTGAGTGTTTGTTTTTTTCTAAATCATAAGCGAAAAAGTCGGAATTCTACTCGTAATTCTCAATTTTCTCTAACAGAATTCAACTTTTCTACAATAAAAATATCATATTCGGATCAAAAACTGAGTCGACTAATGTGTACTTTGAAATTTTTAGTTAATTTTCAGTTTGAAGTGAAAATCTCAGCAATTTTTGGATGTGAAAGTTCGAAAAAATTGAAGTATTCGGGTAGAATAGAAATGCACATTAGTCGACTCAGTTTTTGATCCGAATATGATATTTTTATTGTAGAAAAGTTGAATTCTGTTAGAGAAAATTGAGAATTACGAGTAGAATTCCGACTTTTTCGCTTATGATTTAGAAAAAACAAACACTCAAAAGAAAATTTTAAAAAAAGCGAAGCTTTCAGCAAACCAAATAACGTGCAAATAACGGCTTCAACCATTAACACAAAAAACTAGATAGGCTTACAAAATTGCATGCTCGTACTGTAGAGGGCTTGTTTGGAGCGTCCATGCTCGACGCGCTTTTAACTTCTAAATTGATCAAACACTATTTTTCTATTCAGTTAACGCTGGCTCCGAAAAAAATTGTTTGAAGGATTCAAAACAATCTAGAACCGAGATATTAAAGATTTTTTGAAAATCAGGATTTTTCGAGTATATATTTTGGAAAATTAACAAATACATTTTCTTAATCAGTTTGCTGAGCTCTATCCATCGATGTATAATAAATTTAAAAAAAAGTTTGCTTTAATTTTGCATTGTACATATCTAAAGGAAAAATATCGTGTTCCTATGTCATGTTGCCCTTTCTTTGACATGTCTTTTAGTATTCCTACTTCGTTTACACACAGTTCTTCGAACTCATTTTGTTAAAAAATATCCCCAAATTCTTGTCTGTCGGGGAGAACGATTGTCCGCCCGTGACAATTCACGCTAATTTTCATTCTATCATTTTAAATAACAAATACGAATAATTGTGGAAGTAGAAAAATATGGACATATAAGTAAAAGATTACGTTGAAGTGATCATTTATTATTTTTTGTGTAACAGCAGATATTTTTGTTAAATTTTACGTTTTGAGATAGAGACGAAAAACGAATAATAAAAATATTATAGTACGAGAAATAATGTATTTTGTTTTGCCTCTTTTTAAAGGAAAAAGTCACCCTTACATCTTCCTTTTCTCTAAATGTGTCCTTTACTTTTCCTTTAGTTGGCATTAGGGATCTACACTGGTACGGGAATTCCCGTGGCTGCGAGCGTGCTCGTGGGTAGCACAGGCATGGGCAGACTCGAAAAAGACACGGACGGGCACGGACAAGCACTCTCGATAGGACCACGGGCATGGACGGGTACGGGCAAAAAAATCTTACCCGTGCAGATCTTTAGTTGGCATCTCTGGTTTCAACATATAACTCAGAGACATATAGACTTATTAGCTGATGAATTTGTCAAAATATGCAATGTAATGGCGAACGTTCACGAAAATGACTATAGCTTATAAAAAAATTGATGAAAATATAGTGTTGTTCTTTTCCGATGAAATTTTTTTCAAAAATCTTGAAAGTTTTTGGATTTTTACCTAAAAGATCTGAAGAAAAAGTTCCAAAAATCTTGTATTGCTGTCTTAATCACTTTTACATGAACTCATTTCGATAATCGTATCATGTAATACCACTATAAAGAGTTTTTGTACATTTATTTCTGTTCTTAAATATTTCTCGTTGACTTATTTATAAAAAAAGTTGATCAAACATGTTTTACAAGAAAATTAAATTTTATTTTTCAAAAAAGAAATTTAATAATAAAAAAGAAAAAAATGCTTTGGTATTTTAATTTTATAAATAGAACATAGTAATAAGGTCAATCAATAATATCATTCAAGAATAACCATTCCGATAAATTAAACTTTCACACGAATCATTTTGTGATTCATCGTTTGATGAATTATGTAAATGTTGTTGATTTTCATTGTTACAACCATTAATGCTTATCTCGGATCGTTTTTTATTTACTTTGCGCTCTTTTGCACGACGATTTTGAAACCAAATTTTGATCTAAAATAGAAGAAACTATAGATTTTTAACTTCAAATTTTAAGCATGATATATTTTTAATTTAGATTTTTTATTTAAACAAGAGGTTACTCTTATTACCGCTTATGTGTTCATACCTGTCGTTCACTTAGACTCAAGGCCTGTGCCAAAGTTGTTTTTCTTGGAATTGTAATATATTTTGCAATAATAAATTCATTTTCAAGCTCAAAACGTTGATGTTCACTGTATACTACACGATATTTATCTCTTGTACGAGTTTTTCCTAAAAGAATAAGTAAAATTTATTAATCAATTCATCTATACATCGAGACATTCACACAAAGTTAAACTATAAAAAACTTCTGTTATAAACTTTATAACTATATGTATAGAATAAACGTATAGTTTATTATAATAAACCATTATTTTTCTTGTTATTGTTCGATAAAACTAGATATTTTTTTTCCTTTTATATAACATTCATCAAAAATTAGTTGGTCATATATTTCAAGTCGTTGTTGTCATCAATTTGACAAAAGTATCCAGAAAATTTTTTTTATAATGATAATTCTGATTTACAAGCACTAAATAAAAAAGAGAGAAGGGAACTAAAGCAAATTATGACAACTATCCGTATTTTGATCATTATATGTACGACGCTATAAATTTTTATAGACTTTCTAAATGACATATATATCTATAAATAAAAATAGGAGTAACCCGTATAACTCAACAATTTGAAAAATTTAGTGAACAGTCAACTTCTCAGTTTAATTAAAGGTAAGTTTTGTCTATATATTTTTTCAATAGATTTTGAACATGGCAAAATGAATTTATATTTGTTTTATAATAATTGACGATAATGAATATGTTTTGATAGTTTTTCATTTTAAATCATGATAATTATCTGATAATCGCGACTGTTGTTATATTTTTCGCTTGAAGAGTGTTGATATTTCCGATTGTCAGAAGAAAATTTATTGGGCATTCATCTGGATCTTCAGTTTATGAGACTTTTGTATAAGAATGACGCTTACTAACTAGCAGAAGTTTAAAAGAAGGTGAAGAAAATGATATTGTCTACAATAAATTTCTTTTCAATCTGAAACGTATAAATTTTGAGAGTTCTCGGGTATCAGAGTATATAACCAGTAAAAAAAAGTTCATTGTGTAAATACTAAAGAATCGATCGGTAAATAGCAAGAGTATCGTTTACATGATAAATATAGCATTTTTCTTATCTCAGATTTTATGCATCGTAGTGAGAAAATGAGAGATATGTAAAGTGTGTGTTTTGCATGTTTTGTACGCTTATGATAGCTTATGCTAAAATATTTTGTGAGAAAGTCTAACAGACAGAGTAGAAATGATATATCGATTTGTTCTCACTTCATTCTCGAAAACATATTATCTTCAGATTACAAAGCATAATTCTTAGTTTCAGAAAAATATTGTGATAATCCCATTATCTGTTGATCTTTTGACTTTTCTACAGTACTAAGATTCTACCTGCTACCAAATTCTTTTTTCAACATAAATGATGTCATGATTCAACAAAATCTTTTTTTTTATTAAACATTTTCAGTTTTTATTTTCATTTCAAACTGTCTTTTTGATACTCCACTTTTCATGAAAGAACGTACCCTAGACAAAATCCTACGTACTTCTTGTCTATTTCCTACCAGGATCTTATAGGACCCTAACATTTAGGATCCATCTAATAACTTCCTAGCAGGTTCCTAAAATGCTAGGATCCTACACTCTAAAAAAAAGTCGTAGATTAATAAACTACAATAAAAGAGTTTTTCTGAACTAAAAAATTGATCAAAAAACCCAAAAGAAAGTCGTTTTTAACGGGTTTTTTAGGCCAAAAAACTAAAAAGCGTTCGTGGTCGGTTCAAAATGAAGAAACTCACGATTCTTGGAAGAGCTTTTTGGGTCTAAAAAACTCTTTAAAAAACCCTGTTAGTTTTTTAGACCCAAAAAACTCTTCCAAAAATCGTGAGTTTCTTCATTTG